TATATATATATATATATACCTATATATACATATATATATATATATATATATATATATATATATATATATATATACATATATATATATATATATATATATATATATATATATATACATATATACATATATATATATATATATATATATACATATATATATATATATATATATATATATATATATATATATATACATATATATATATATATATATATATATATATATATATATATACAATATATATATATATACATATATATATATATATATATATATATATATATATATATATATATATATACATGTACATATATATATGTATATATACATATATACATATATATATATATATATATATATATATATATATATATATATATATATATATACATATATATGCATATATATGTATATATACATATATATATATACATATATATATATATATACATATATATATATGTATATATATACATATATATGTATATATATACATATATATGTATATATATACATATATATGTATATATATACATATATATGTGCATATATACATATATATGTATATATATACATATATGCACATATTAATTAGATTCCTGTTTTTTCAATATTTTATAAATGATCTATGCAAGTGCTTCGTGTGCATCAGAATATAGTAGACTACTTTTTAACCACTTGATTTTTCACAGTTATAAGTAAAGAAATATTTGAATTTATTATTTTTATATTTCTAGTGCCTCCAATGGTTTGTTTTTCTCAAATCTTGGTACTTGTAGTGTTAGGTGTTTTTCTTTTGGATGTTGGCATCACCTGTAATTTGTTTCAAGTTTCAGTCTGCGTAGGTGTTTTCTTAGTCTTGTGCGTTTTGTAGGGATACCTGTGAGGTGTACATCTTGGTTCATTTTTCCTGATCTAGTCCATGGTTTTGGGGTGTTGTCTTTAAGGTGATTCATGGGCTTTTTTTGCAGCAAGGTCTGCCGTTTATGTGCTGTGACCCATTGCACTGTGCCATTTGGGTTTTGTGTAAATTTGCTTTTGGGTTTCATGTGTAATTTGTTCGTAGTTTTTGGGCTGTGATTTTGTAGTATTAAGATTTCTGTGGGTGAATCTGTGAAGATTTCCATGTTTGTTAGTTTGTAAAGTTTTAAATCCTTTAATCCTTGTTTTGCATACAATTCTACTTCTATGATTTGTGTATTGGTGATTTCTAGACTGTCTTGTGTCCCTTTTGTTCTATATAGATGGCTGTTGACGATTGATCTTCCTATATTTTTGGTCCATTTATAAATATTTTATAGTGGTTTTCATGTTTACAGATAGGATGCACTGAGGTAGTACAAACTAAAGATATTCTTGTAGAGGATAAAAAGATACAGCTGTCAGCACAAGAAATAGTTTGCAGACCCAAACGTTAACACCACAAATAAAGAGAAAAGATTGTGGGAAGCACCGCTCACAGCCCAAGTCCACTCAGTGTTCCATCGCATACCAAGGCGAAGACATTGTTTCCTCTAGGGTGTTGGGAGACAAGATATTGAAGAGCACCCTCAGTCATAGCAACTTCGATTGTGAAATTTTGTGACATGGGGTTGGGGAATTGCCATTTCATATTTTGTATTCATTAGCGTTTGAAGTTCCATTTTAATCATTTCATGACAGGTCTTTTGTTAAATTATCCATAAGCTTGGTTACGAATTCGTGGGAAAAGTCATATCATTGTGGTATCGGAGTTATATGTATTTACCTTTCAATGTCTATAAG